CCCCCCCCCTCTCCCTGTCAAGGATCCCTGGAATTCTTCAGAGGTTAATGGAAATCCAATTCTTCAAGGGTATTTTAATAGGGTAAAGGATTTTGAGATTCTTCAGGCAAGGTTCCCAATAGAAGCCTGCACCCGGCGATTTTTGCCATCTATAGCCCAGACAATCGCCGGTTATTTCTCGAAATAACAAACCAATGTATTTCTTCCTTACCACAGAAATGTAGGGGGAAAGGTTTCCTGTTTTTTTAACACAAATTTTACACAATACTCTTTGTTAAATAAAATAACAAAACCTCCAAATCCTAACTCTCCAAAATGGGTGGAATGCCATTCCAGAGGGTTTCAAATTTCAGAATTTTCACAGGGAGATGTGTACCCCCCTCCCCCCTCCCAACCAGGGGTGGCGCTAACCCTCTTCGAGTGGGGGTGTGTGAGTGATCTTTTGCCGACTGTTGTTTGGTAATTTTGCCGAGTCATTAGCCTATAGTGAGGGTCCTGAAGGGGGGGGGGGGGGGGTCCCAATCCCATTTTCCACCTGAAATTTTGGCAAAATCCCAGTCCCAGTTGGATTTTTATTAGAAATCCCAGTCCGAGTTATTGAAATCCTGATTGGATTCCGATACCCATCAGCTCAAGATCTTTGGTGGAAAACATAGCCACATGGCGTGACACAAAGGAGTTTTTGGGGTAAAAAAATTAAAATGCAGCAGATTGGCGGGCTGCCGGACTGTGTGTGTTTAAGAAATTTTGTGCTTTTGGCGGGTTTTCTAAAGTCGTAATTTTCTTGGCGCAAATCTTTGGCAGGCGAAAACGGAGAAATCCAATCAGGATTGGGAACCTGCTTCAGGGCATGAATTCTTCAGAAGTAAAGGGTTTTGAGTTTGGAATTTTCAGGGTGGCGTATGGAATGAAGGTGGTGTGCACGGCAGTGGCGGCACAACGTTGCTCCTGCTAATATATTTACTAGTATTTTGGTGCACATTTTCATTTTGTCAAATGTGTGGTGCACAAAAGTGTCATTCCATACAGGTTCAGGGTAAAAGGTTTTGTACTTGGAATTCTTCAAGGTTATACTGTAAAGTTCTATGAAAAACACGTATCCTCGACGGGGGGGGGGAGGTAATATTAAAATGGAATAGCCAATTCATAAATATTCTATGATAAATCATACAATACACATCTTAGATATCTTTAAAATTAATGACTATTTAACTGCCATATATACTCATCATCAATACTTGTAAATATTAACTAAGCTGTACATAGGGGGAAAAAATAAAAAAAAAAAAACCCAAAAAAAAAACCCTTCATACACGCGTAAAAATTGATCAGGTTGTTGCAACATTGTTCGCTGAACAACGTTGCAACAATGAGGTTATCATGGCTGAACAACGTTGTTCAAGCGACAATGTTGTTCAACATTGTTCCATCAACATTGTTAGAGCC